CCTTTTTCTTTTGTAGAGAAGCTAAGTGTGTGTTGTAAATGGCTTGTCTAGTTTTAGTAAAGTCCAGCGACGAGGAAGTTGGTGTGGAAGGTTGGTTTTTTATGAGAGTATCCATTTTTGAGAGCTCATTCTTAATCTTTCTCTGTTTGCTGTAGACGATGTTGATCAGGTGATTCCACAGTTTCTTTGGGAGCGTGTGGCACAAGCTGTCAGCATAGTCTGTGTGGTATGTAGATTGTAATGGATTTTTTACCTTCAGTCCTTTTGGTACGATGTCCATCTGTTTGCATTTGGAAAGGAAGATGATGTCTGTCTGTATCTGTACACGTTTTTTCATGCAGTTGATAGATTTCCGCTCCATACAGCTAAATGCAGTGCCTTGCATAATGACAGGTTTCAGAGTAACAGCCATGTTAGTCTGTATCCGCAAAAAGAAAAGGAGTACTTGTGGCACCTTAGAGACTAACCAATTTATTTGAGCATAAGCTTTCGTGAGCTACAGCTCACTTCATCGGATGCATACTGTGGAAAGTGTAGAAGATCTTTTTATATACACACAAAGCATGAAAAATACCTCCTCCCACCCCACTCTCCTGCTGGTAATAGCTTATCTAAAGTGATCACTCTCCTTACAATGTGTATGATAATCAAATTGGGCAATTTCCATCATACACATTGTAAGGAGAGTGATCACTTTAGATAAGCTATTACCAGCAGGAGAGTAGTGTGGGAGGAGGTATTTTTTCATGCTTTGTGTGTATATAAAAAGATCTTCTACACTTTCCACAGTATGCATCCGATGAAGTGAGCTGTAGCTCACGAAAGCTTATGCTCAAATAAATTGGTTAGTCTCTAAGGTGCCACAAGTACTCCTTTTCTTTTTGCGGATACAGACTAACACGGCTGCTACTCTGAAACCAGTAATAGGAGTGTGCTTACATAGGCTAAGAGCATAAGCTGATAGTTCCAAGTCAATTCCCAAAGATCTTCCGCCTAAATAATTTCACTTATTATGGAAGTAGCTAGAGGCCCTAGTTAAGATATGGGAACCCTATTGTGGTAGGCACAGCACACTTTTGCTTTATTAAAAAAAGCACAAGTGCAGGAAGGAGAGACAGATAAGGTAAATGTGAAACAAGCATGTTTCAACATAACAAATAGTCCTAGGTAGCAATGTCTTCTAGGAATCAAGGTAGAAGTGGATCTTGAGGAAGGGGGATTTGAAAGAACTGTCTCTTGGTAATTTATGGACTAGCTCAGAAAGTTCACATACAAGGGGCAACAGAAGAAAGTTTAAAGATGCTTACCGGAGAAGCAGACAAGGAAGAAATTGATGTTATCAGTTATCACTTGCACAGCAGAAGTGGTGTATCAGTAAGCCCCTTGGTTTAAACTGAAAACGAAATTTTACCAAAAAATTCCTGGGGCTTACAAAAATTACTCAGTTTTGTCCGATTTTCACCCTGCTTTTGTATCATTCAAATACATTAAAAAAACGTGTATTGTATTTTCCTAATAAAACAATGTATGGCATGAGATCTATGTATTAAAATAATACATTAGTTTGTGTGTGTGTGTATATGCAAAGCTGCCTATTGAAGTAAGGCTTTGTATTAGTCTAGAAGATGCACACAACACAAGCTCTGAAGTGCATGTGCATCTGCAGATAATCGATGAAAGATTTGACACACTAAAATAGGAAGAAAATGAAAATCTGTATCGAATACATTTCAGAACACAAGTATTAGAAATTAAAAAAAAAACAGGAGAAAAGGATGAAGTTGAGTGTGTGCACTGCAAATGGTGTGGCCCAATTCTTAAAGGTAAATATTTATAGGCTAATAGTTCTAGGGTTACAACAGTCAACTGATAATTCAAATTACAAGTTTTATTTGGGGATTAGAGATATAGTTTTCTTAAACTCAGAGGTGGCATTGTGTTTTGAGTTCTGTTTTAGTTCTGCAGCAAACCACACTGATGAACAGAATTCAAAGCATTAATCTACTAAACACTTTTCTCGCCATCTTTCCATCCACCAAAAGAAACCCAGATAGTCACCCAGAAAAATTAATATAGTTTTTTGCCCTGATTTTTGCCTCTTTTTGTTATCGTGGTAATAAACACTCAAGTTCCCAGGAAAAACTAAATAAAATGAAAACTGAAAACAAAGGGCCCTATGTATCAACAACAAAAAAGATAATCTGGGTGGGGAAAAACTGTGATGGGCTTTTAAAAGCAAAGCAAAAGACAAACTTGATGTGGTGGAAAAGGCAGGGTCAGTACAGTGAGCCAAAGGATGGTAATGTGGTGAGAAGAAGCCTGTATGTGATGAACAAAAACCCAATAAGGATGAAGATATGATAAAAACAAAATGTTTTACCAAAACAAGAAAAGTATTGAGCACAGGGACTGAAATTCAGTACTGGCTGGGGAGGAAGCACGAAAATATAGGATGTTAAGTCTTCTGTTTAGTTTCCTATGATTACATAGAAATTCTGGACATTTTTCTTTTTTACCTCCAAAGTGTTCCAACAGTTAGGATAGTAAACAGATAAGACTGTTAGTAATAAGTAGTTTGACCTTGTTCTGAATACTGAATTTTTTCACCATCTTACAGAATTCTCAGAAAGCTTAAGACTGAAGTATTTAGTTACTCAAATAGTTACAAACAAAAAACAAAACAAGCCCCTTTATTTACTATTTTTATGCTTGACAGAGTCCAGTCTGCTACTAGTTCAGTTATCATAGAATCATAGAATATCAGGGTTGGAAGGGACCCCAGAAGGTCATCTAGTCCAACCCCCTGCTCAAAGCAGTTATCATCAAAGACCCTATGGTATTATATGACCCAAAGTATTCAAACCACCAGGTAAGTAAACGAGAGACTCACATCTGCAGTGTACTTTGGACCAAGTTAAATGCAAGATTCAAAACACTTAATCATTTGTTGTAGAAAAAGTTAGACACAAAGTCACACTACAAGAGGCCACTTATCCATCTGAATTAGTAATCTGTCTCCATATAATGCCTGTAGTCAATTGTGTAATAAAGAACTATATGCTACTGCCAACTGGCTTTGTTTATATACTAAAAGCAAGATAAATTACAAAGTGTAACTTCTTACATTAGAAGTATTTGTTCATATATCTAATCCTCTAACGCCTGATTGATTTTGGCAGTGAAACATATATGCAAATTAAACATTAATTGATTTCCATCATTTCATGTCTCAATGACCGCACATGTCCCATTGCTTTTGTATTATGGGAGAGCAGGATGACTAGAAGCGCGTGACTGGGCTTTAATATATTTGTGTAGTTTCAGATATCCATTTCCTCTTCTTTACAAGCTAAATAAATCCCCAAACTAGCCTTTGTCCCCCTCTTCTTGTATACCTTCACTATATCCTGGGCAAGTCAAAAGCAATATTCTATTGTAGATGTAAAGCTTGTTACTGTAGTCTTAATACTCTAGAAGTTACAAAGCATGCCCAACATCTTTCCAGATGCATTTTTTATACCTTCGTATGGAGAAGTTCTAAAATGAAGAGGAGCATATAAAAAGATGTAATAGCCTAATTCAGTTTGCCCATAGACTTAATGAATGAAATCCTGGCCCCACTGAAGTAACAATAGGAATTTTGCCATTAACTTCAATGGGGCCAGGAATTCATCTAAGAAATTCAGACAAAGGAACAGCATCCAGGAACTCTTAGTCTTGATACACATTTTGTGGTGGTGAAAACTTGCAAATCCACACTATCAAAAAGACATTTAGTGCCTCGGTTCATGTATTTTTCTCAGAATTATTCTGTTTTGACTATATCCCAGAATCCTTTGACTACAGCTTAGTGTTGGCCAGAAGTCTTCATTGTCTCCTCCAAATAAATAAATACACCAAACTTTTTCTTAAGTTAACAATTCAGAATGAGTAGTTTAATTTTTTCCCCTCTAGTAAGCACCACAACTATGCTGACTTATTACCTGTGTTAAATACAGCTTTTAGAGACCTTCAACCCGATTCAATTTTAAGTTTTTCCTATACCACCCATCACCATAGTATTAAAAGATACGAACTGTAATCCTGTCATTTTTATTAACCATTCATCTTTGGCATCCAAGTCATTACTAGTTGTACTGAACTTCACTGGTCTTAGGGCATCCATCACAATTACGAAACTCCTAAAAACGTAAGGGAAGACTGTCCAAAGTCAACAGTCTCTCCCACTCCTTGTACAAGCCCCGTTCCTCCTCCTCAACATCCCTTGACTCTTCTCCAGTGGAGCCTTCTACACTCAAATTTGAGGTAAGCTAAGCTAATAGAACTCGTTCCCATCCAGCAAATTTGATGTGCAAAGCTGACATCACATACCTAGAGCACTGAAAGGAATATCACCTCCCTATTTTGCAAAACGTGTGATGTCTAGTGCAAAAGATACAAAAAACTCCAATCTCATACCTCAATAGAGCAAGGTTTTTCAAATATTTGGTTATAATTCTGTGTGATGTTAAGACTATATACATTCGCTGTATGACTTAAGATCTTAAACACTTATAGTTTTCTCTTAGTAAGATGCAAAGAAAAGACTGGACCTTTACATGGGTAACAAGGATGTCTAGAGATATAACCGTTAATGACAAAGTTTTTGGAAAGGGTAAAAAGTTTCTTGAGTCAGGGTTTAAGCTAGTCTGTAACTATTAAGGATTAGGATAACACCATTATGGGAGCAGTTTTTTGCAGCTTCCTCTCAGGCATCTGGTGCTGGTTACTGATGGAGACAATACTGGACTACCTGGACCACAGGTCTGATCCAGTATGGCAATTCCTATGTTAAAAACATTTTACCTGTCAATTAATAACTGAACTCAAACAAATTCTATTCCTTATGAGAAAGCACGTGCTATTTTTCTTATTCAGATGCCACTTCGCACTATTAAGGCAAAAATTATAATTAACTGTTTAACGCTAAGTTAAAACACAAAATTCCTGAAAGAACTTACGACTACTTCCAAGTTCCTCAAACAGGTATTTCACTTTCTCCCACTCAGTGGAATTTCTCTTCTGAGGAACATCCAATGGAATGAAGGCACTATAACAAGAAAAAAATTTAACACTTTTTAAATTTTTTAATAATTATTACAAATTAAAATATTTTAATGGGAAAGCAATCTACTCCTGAAGAAAAAATCTCCTACATCAAGCTGAATATATACACACACACATATAGAATGATTTTCTTCCAGAGCAATTTTTCATTTTAGTTTATATCCCTTCATACTAGCTATGCTTTTGTATAAATCAGTTTCCAATGTTGCAAATATTCTTCCTGCAAGTTATACGTAGTATAAGAGTGCTCTCTTCAGTTAAGATAACTATTTTAAACAGGTAGTTTATTTAGTGTACACCTCTGGGTTCTTCATACATAGAAAATAGTGGAGAGCATGTTATCAGATGCAGCAGCAGTAGTAGCCAAGTGCACAGTTGAGAGTGGGATTTAAGCATTTCAGTTATCCATTCAGTGTTGGATGGCATTAATTTCCACTTTATACTGCTGTAGAAAGTGCTTGTTAAGCTAAAATACTTATCTTCATAATACATTTTGGTCCAATTTGAACATCCAATTCACTAATTTTCACAAATATAGTCACTCAACATGTTCGAAATAAACTAGTTTTTCTAAAAAGACCATCTGTTTCCACTTTATTCTTGCAGTTCTAAAGTCTCATAAATCATTTATGCTGATCCCATGGTCCGAGAACTTCAGTTTTCTGACACCACGAGGCCTGCTAAGAAATTCAAGTATAGTGTGATTCCAACCTTCATTATATTATGACCAACACATGCTGTGCATTGGCAGCAATGCTGAACAGAGACCACCTCCTCACCTAAAAAAAATAAACCTGACAAAAGAGTGTGGAAAGTTTTGAGCTATCAGTGACTTTTTTTAAACAAAAAAATGCAGCAAATAATTCTCCACCCCAACCATCTAAACACTAATATTACACTGATTGTGCTAGAGTGCAACTGTTTACTGTGCAACCTGGAATAGGTTTACTGCAAAAATGGGCACAAAAAAGGAAGATAATTCTGAGGTAAATAAAAGGCACCCTTTCGCAAGTTAATCTTTAATAAATTGTATTCTTTTGTAGGGGTCAAGGAAAATACAACCTGAGATTATTTGTAGTTAATTATTTCAGTTTTACACGATATGGTTAAACCAGAAAGAATTTGCTCATAACCAGAATAAGCCCAGATATTTTTGGGACACAGACAATGAAGTGTGATTTTGGGAGCTGACCAAAAAGTTCTAAAAGCCATTGTGGCAATTCTGGGGGATGCTCAGTCGTGATTATAGATCTGTACTCCAAGATTTGTTTTATGTACAGATTTCTGAGATGATATAAACAATGTCAGAGGAAGCAGAAAGTTTCACCACATTCCCCCAGGCATAAAACTTGTGAAAAGTCACAGAGCAACCTTCACCGGGTTGCTCTCAGATGGCCTGGCTAGTCAAGCAGGTGGGTGGGGGGAGGCAAAGGAAAGACTTCACAGTTAGGCTTTATAATAAAGGAAAGTGGTAGTTGGGCTCAGGCACACCAGAAGGGAGGGGCTTTGAAAAGAGCGAGTCCTTGAGAGAGGGAAAAACTGACTGGGAGGTGCATTCTGGAAGTAAAATGGAGACCAGGCTGGGTCCTTAGAGCTCCAGGGCTTACCAAAAGAATCTAAGTTGTGTATGTTCTATTCCAGTAGCTCATGAGGGAAGCCCATCTATATTTGCTTGTAGTGAAGTGTAAGATTAAATGCACACTGTTATGCACACTGACTATTTTCTTTGACGCTTTGTACTATTTGCTAGTAGACATACTTGTTGCAAAAAGGTTGTTTGTCACTGCAGATCACTGGACACAGGTTCCTGTCAGATCTGCACAGTGATAAGCAATAGACAGAGCATTGTAATCAGATCCCAGTCTAATAGTGGAAGAATTGTGCAATACCACCCCAGGACAAGTAAGGGCATGTCATAAAAATAAAGGGAAGGGTAACCACCTTTCTGTATACAGTGCTATAAAATCCCTCCTGACCAGACGCAAAACCCTTTCACCTGTAAAGGGTTAAGAAGCTAAGATAACCTCGCTGTCACCTGACCAAAATGACTAATGAGGAGACAAGATACTTTCAAAGCTGGGGGGGGGACGACAAAGGGTCTGTCTGTCTGTGAGATGCTTTTCATAGAATATCAGGGTTGGAAGGGACCCCTGAAGGTCATCTAGTCCAACCCCCTGCTCAAAGCAGGACCAATTCCCAGTTAAATCATCCCAGCCAGGGCTTTGTCAAGCCTGACCTTAAAAACCTCTAAGGAAGGAGATTCTACCACCTCCCTAGGTAACGATTCCAGTGTTTCACCACCCTCTTAGTGAAAAAGTTTTTCCTAATATCCAATCTAAACCTCCCCCACTGCAACTTGAGACCATTACTCCTCGTTCTGTCATCTGCTACCATTGAGAACAGTCTAGAGCCATCCTCTTTGGAACCCCCTTTCAGGTAGTTGAAAGCAGCTATCAAATCCCCCCTCATTCTTCTCTTCTGCAGGCTAAACAATCCCAGCTCCCTCAGCCTCTCCTCATAACTCATGTGTTCCAGACCCCTAATCATTTTTGTTGCCCTTCGCTGGACTCTCTCCAATTTATCCACATCCTTCTTGAAGTGTGGGGCCCAAAACTGGACACAGTACTCCAGATGAGGCCTCACCAATGTCGAATAGAGGGGAACAATCACGTCCCTCGATCTGCTCGCTATGCCCCTACTTATACATCCCAAAATGCCATTGGCCTTCTTGGCAACAAGGGCACACTGCTGACTCATATCCAGCTTCTCGTCCACTGTCACCCCAGGTCCTTTTCCGCAGAACTGCTGCCTAGCCATTCGGTCCCTAGTTTGTAGCGGTGCATTGGATTCTTCCGTCCTAAGTGCAGGACCCTGCACTTATCCTTATTGAACCTCATCAGATTTCTTTTGGCCCAATCCTCCAATTTGTCTAGGTCCCTCTGTATCCTATCCCTCCCCTCCAGCATATCTACCACTCCTCCCAGTTTAGTATCATCCGCAAATTTGCTGAGAGTGCAATCCACACCATCCTCCAGATCATTTATGAAGATATTGAACAAAACCGGCCCCAGGACCGACCCTTGGGGCACTCCACTTGACACCGGCTGCCAACTAGACATGGAGCCATTGATCACTACCCGTTGAGCCCGACAATCTAGCCAGCTTTCTACCCACCTTATAGTGCATTCATCCAGCCCATACTTCCTTAACTTGCTGACAAGAATACTGTGGGAGACCGTGTCAAAAGCTTTGCTAAAGTCAAGAAACAATACATCCACTGCTTTCCCTTCATCCACAGAACCAGTAATCTCATCATAAAAGGCGATTAGATGAGTCAGGCATGACCTTCCCTTGGTGAATCCATGCTGACTGTTCCTGATCACTTTCCTCTCATGCAAGTGCATCAGGATTGATTCTTTGAGGACCTGCTCCATGATTTTTCCAGGGACTGAGGTGAGGCTGACTGGCCTGTAGTTCCCAGGATCCTTCTTCCCTTTTTTAAAGATTGGCACTACATTAGCCTTTTTCCAGTCATCCGGGACTTCCCCGGTTCGCCACGAGTTTTCAAAGATAATGGCCAATGGCTCTGCAATCACAGCCTCCAATTCCTTCAGCACTCTCGGATGCAACTCGTCCGCCCCCATGGACTTGTGCACGTCCAGCTTTTCTAAATAGTCCCTAACCACCTCTATCTCCACAGAGGGCTGGCCATCTCTTCCCCATTTTGTGATGCCCAGCGCAGCAGTCTGGGAGCTGACCTTGTTAGTGAAGACAGAGGCAAAAAAAGCATTGAGTACATTAGCTTTTTCCACATCCTCTGTCACTAGGTTGCCTCCCTCATTCAGTAAGGGGCCCCACACTTTCCTTGGCTTTCTTCTTGTTGCCAACATACCTGAAGAAACCCTTCTTGTTACTCTTGACATCTCTGGCTAGCTGCAGCTCGAAGCAGCTCTCTCCCCCCTCCCCCCCCCCCCCCCGCCCCCCCCCCCCAGGGGATCAGGCCCCCTCCCCCCCCCTTCTCGAACCCAACCCCACCCACCCCACGCCCCCCCCCCCCCCCCCCCCCACCCTTCCCCCCCCCCCCTACTCCCCCCGGTTTGGAGGAGGAGGAAAAAAAAACCCCCCCCGTGGGGCCCCCCCCCACTCGCGCCAGAAAATTTCCCCCCCCCTTTCCAAAACTTCCTGGATTGTTTCCCGCAGTATTGCTCTCCCAGCACAGGGTCTGAGCCGAGGCCTCATCACTGCTCCCTTACATCCCCCTCCCTACCCCCCCCCCCCCCACCCTCCCCCACCCCCTTCTCAGTGCTACTCTCCCACCTTTTCTGCCCTGCCTGTCCTTCCTGAACAGATTATAACCATCCATGACAGTACTCCCAGCTTTTGCTGGGAACAGATCAGGAACGCCATCTCAGAAACTCTGGTAAGTTAGTAAGTAATCTAGCTAGAAATGCCTTAGATTTCCTTTTGTTAAATGGCTAGTAAAAATAAGCTGTGCTGAATGGAATGTATATTTCTGTTTTTGTGTCTTTTTGTAACTTAAGGTTTTGCCTAGAGAGATTCTCTATGTTTTGAGTCTGATTACCCTTTAAAGTATTTACCATCCTGATTTTACAGAGGTGATTTTTTTTTTTAACTTTTTCTTAAATTAAAATCCTTTTAAGAATCTGATTGCTTTTTCATTGTTCTTAAGATCCAAGGGTTTGGGTCTGTGTTCACCTGTACAAATTGGTGAGGATTTTTATCAAGACTTTCCCAGGAAAGGGGGTGTAGGGCTTGGGGGGATATGTTGAGGGAAGATGTCTCCAAGTGGGCTCTTTCCCTGTTCTTTAACACGCTTGGTGGTGGCAGCAGCATAGGGTTCAAGGACAAGGCAAAGTTTGTACCCTGGGGAAGTTTTTAACCTAAGCTGATAAGAATAAGCTTAGGGGGTCTTTCATGCAGGTCCCCATATCTGTACCCTAGAGTTCAGAGTGGGGAAGGAAC